GGACAACATGCTTGCATGCTCCGTGGCCCAGCCCCACGTTCTCTGTAGCTCCGGCCCCTCTGGACTCTCACAATTGCCCTGCTGCTGCTGCTGCTGCGTCTACTGCGGCCTGTAAACTTCGAAGAGCCACCCAGTCCAGACACGCTGGGAGGGGGAGAGCGAGAGGGTGGACGGGAGATCTGAAGGAGGAGGACAAAAGCAAGCATGTGGCTGGAGCGAGAAAGACTCCACGGGCAGTGGGGAAACTGACTTCATAAAGAGATGGAGTCAGGAGAGCGTCCTTTAGAACCCAGGGAAATCATAGAACCACTTGCCTTCCAATTCTGCCTTTCTTTGAAGAAATGCCAAGAAACGTCCTTAAAACAACCTGCTCGTGCTGGGGGTTAGGGGGTGTGTGAGGGTGCTTGGCGAGCTGACATCTGTGGCGCCTCCTGGAGGAAGAGCCAGGTATCACCGCCCCCAGACCAGAGCAGCTCTGCCCAGGACAACAGCTCTGGACACTAGGTGTAGGGCTCACAATGCCATCCCTGTGTCCTTAATAAACATGGCCAAGAGGCTATGTCAGGCAGGTAGCTGGGATCCCTGGGGGTGGGGGGCCTGGCAGACAGTCATCCTCAAAGCTCGGTGACAACATAGTTCCAGCCGCTGTGAAACGTGAAGTTTTTCTAGTTCCTCTGCTTGTGCTCACCTGTGGCAGGCACCGCGCCCATCAGTGAGCACGGCACCGGAGCCTCCTGTCCGGTGAGTCACCGTGATGCTGGCTGTCAGCTGTTCAGACAAGTGTGGCTTCCAGGAAGCCCGGGACTGGCCGGGAGAGGACCAGATGCTGCGGCTCTGCCTCACGGTATGAATGGGTGCCTGTGCCCATCGCCCTTCTGCCCTAACTCCCGCTCATGTTGACATCTGCGGTGCTTTCCACACCTGACCGGAAGCAGCGCATGCTGAGAAAGGAGTCAGTGGCGTTTCCTCTAAATAGGAAGAAGGATGGAGATGCACGGTGATGCACAAAAACTGCTTTCAGGTTTCACAATGTTCCTTGTTTCCAACGCCCAAGCTCACCTTGGAAGAATCTGGATTTCCTTGCTAGCCATTCTTCCCTTTTGTCTGCTGTTCCTGCCTTCTTCCTTCTGCAGTATGTCTACCTGTCCCGGAAGCCAAGCTTTCTTATTTGGTCTCCCTCACCACAACTCCAGGTACTGCATGAACTGGGACCCAGGCCAAGACAGGTCTGCTTGCTCCTCCTCACGTTCTCACAACAAAGCCAACTTCTGGATGCCAGCTCCTTTCCGTCTTTCGTTTCTTCCTTCTCACCTTCTCGCTCCCTTTCTTCTTTCCAGGAATACAGACATGGAGTGAAGTGCTCTAGAAAGAACTGTGTACTGCTAGGAGCTGGTGGCTGACATCTGCAATCCTAGCAACTCAGGAAGCTGAACAGATTTGAGGATCAACATTTGAAGCCAGCCCTGGCAGAAAAACTGGATTCCTATCTCCCATTAACCAGCAAAAAGGCCAAAAGTGGTGGTGTAACTCAAATGGTAGAGCCCCAGCCTTGAGCAAAAAAGCTAAGCAAGAGCTTGAGGCACTGAGTTTAAGCCCCAGTCCTGGCACCAAAACAAACCAACAAACAAAAGAAAAACCAAGAATGATTTACCCCGCAGCTCTGAGTGGCCAAGCAGATGGCTTAGAGGCCGAGCCTCCAAATCTCTGAGCTCACATAATTCTTTCTTCATTGTAAGTTAATTAACAGCATGCCTGGTCCCTGGGAGATGATACTATTCTTGTCTGCATCTGGGCGCTCGGCTCAGCTAGTCTGAGTTTTGCATCACTCTGGCTGAGCGGAGCTAATGTCCCTTGTAATCTTGGAGACCTCCTGCCCTTCTATCCATCCATGGGATGATTGCTCCCCTGTGTGAATTCTCAGACTTGCAGGACCTGCCAGCCGATGATCTCCGCTGACAGAGGTTTGTGTCTCCCTGCAGCCTGGAGGAGGCAGGGAGGATGGGAGGGACACAGGGCTAAGACTTCCAGGGGCTTCGCTTCTTTGAAAACTACATGGTCTTGCTAAACTAGACTCTTTCCGAGAAGATGATTTGTGCCTGCATGGGTGCCTGGGGGAAACGTTGCTGCGAGTCTGGCCTATGCTCCCATGAGGAGGACTGGAAAGCTTTTCCGGTTTTGTCCATGCCTGTGTCATTGATTTGTTATCACGGTGTCTCTACAGAGAGTCCTTTCCAGATGGTAGATCCGGCTCCAGGAGGCAGAGCTGGAGACTGTGCCCACTGAGCTGTCTGTGCACACTCAGAGAGGCGCACAGGCTGTGGCGGGAACCTCAGCGCAGGTCATCTACACAGCAAATTCAGCCGCACACCAGGACTGGCCGAGCCCACAAATCCCGCCCTGGCCCCGCGCCTCTGGATGTGGGCGCAGGCAGCTTGCTTTCATTATTCCACGGCTGCGAGCCCCGGTTCCAGACGCAAAGTTCCCCGCTCCGTCCCGCCGGCGCTGCAGCCCACAGCCGCGGGCGGCGCGGGGCTGCCAGGGAGGTTCCCCGGGAACCTGAGCGTCCTCAGCGCTTGGGGACGAAAGCCTTCGGTGGCCGCGGCGCGCCCTCTGGCGGCCGGCGTGCCCAACGGGCCAAGAGCGCGTCCTCGGGGTTGGCGACCAGAACCGCGTCGCGGAGTGCGGCCCCGCGGCTCCACGCACAGGACGTTCCGCGCCTCCCCAGAGGGGCCGAGGAAGAGCCGACCCAGTTCTTGGAGTTGTCCCAGCCCTCTGAGCCGTGACTGCCACGTTACAGAAAAAGACAAAATGAGATCCTGGACTGTGAGCGGCCGCGGAGTGTGTCCCCACACCCAGAGTCCGACCGAGGTTCCCCAGGACGCGTCCACGCAGCCCCACAACAAGACTCCGCTGCTCCGAAGGCGTAGGAGAGGGTCGTGCGCACCGATCCCTGCTCGGGGGAAGGCGTAGGAGAGGGTCGTGCGCACCGATCCCTGCTCGGGGAAGGCGTAGGAGAGGGTCGTGCGCACCGATCCCTGCTCGGGGAAGGCGTAGGAGAGGGTCGTGCGCACCGATCCCTGCTCCCTCCACTCTGTCCCCCACCAGTGCTGGCGGGGTGAAGGTGAGGGGCTGGCCTCGCTCGCCATCCGCTGCCCACTGAGGGGAAGAGGGGACGGGCTGGGCACCTGGGGACGAGGAGGGGAGGATGTACCGTGCGCAGCTAACACTGCTCCTCGGGGTCCCTCTTGTTCCCACAGCGCGGGGGCTCCTGCTCTAATGCCTCTCCCCGCAACGCCCGGGGGCAGCTCACCCAACAGAAAGAGCAGCTGGTGCTTCACCCATCAGTCCATCAGCCCCTGGAGGAGCCGGAGTCTAATCACCCCTCCCCCCGCAGAGGAGCCATGAGCCCCCACCCCCACCCCTACCCCCCCCCGCAGAGGACCCATGTGCCCCCACCCCCACCCCCACCTCCCACCCCCACCCTCCCCCCGCAGAGGACCCATGAGCCCCCACCCCCACCCCACCCCCCACCCCCTCACCCCCACCCTCCCCCCGCAGAGGACCCATGAGCCCCCACCCCCACCACCCTCCCCTGAAGAGGACCCATGAGCCCCCACCCGCACCCCCTCACCCCCCACCCCCGCAGAGGACCCATGAGCCCCCCCGCACCCCCCCTCCCCCCCCCCCGCAGAGGACCCATGAGCCCCCACCCCCACCCCCCACCCTCCCCCCGCAGAGGACCCATGAGCCCCACCCCCACCCCCACCCTCCCCCCGCAGAGGACCCATGAGCCCCACCCCCACCCCCCACCCTCCCCTGAAGAGGACCCATGAGCCCCCACCCCCGGGCTGCGGCTCCCCGGTTTGCACACAGCCCGCTCCCCTCCGCAGGCCTAGCTTGGCCCGTGGAGGAGCCAGAACCCCGGCCTGAACCTCAGGCCCAGAAACCTGAAATGGGGCAGGACCCCCGCTCCTGCAGGGAACGTTCTGGTGGAAAGCAAACCAGCCATTGCCCAAACCAGCTTGACCAGAAGGAGCTTGGCCCGTGGTTTCTGCAACCCCACTTGCTTTCTGCGTGATTTCCACACACATGCGGCAATCTCTGAGACACTGTCGCACACCTGTGCTTTTCTGAGACTGTCCACTTCCCTGCCCCTGTCCCTTGCAAAACATCTTCCTTCCAGAAACTTGCTCCATGTACCTGCATCCCACCTAAACTTGCTTACAAATCCCCTGGACAGGCCAGCAGCGGTGTTCACACCTTGGAGAGCATTGCTCTAGGCCGCAGGCATACACTAAACCCGAGCCGCCAGCCTCTGAGTGTCCACTTGCTCTCTCCAGGCGCTGTGCATCTTTCCGTGACAGTACTGCTGGCTGTGAACGGACCTGTCCGCCTGCCCTCCCTGGAGACCGGAGCTTGCCGCCTTCCTCTCCGGAGCGAGGCTGAGCCTAGGCGGGCACCGGCCCTTCCCAGATCGGTGTTTGTTCCAGGTAGGAACAGATACTCCACACGCTAGAGAAGCACAGTCCCGGGTGTCTGTGTGACTTTACTCAGAAAAGTTAAAAGCAGGGGAGAAGAGGTGTGATGCTACTATTTATTGCAACTTCATTTAAGGCAGAGTTCAAAGTAGGTTCAGCTAATTTGTAAGAAAGATTTTGGATACAAGACATCAGTAGATGGGATGAAGGCCAGCAGATCGGCTACATTTCTACCCTTTGAGATTACTGTTTGAGCTTAGTTACTATTCTACCACTGTCTCTGGATAGTTACAAACTGTAACAAGAAGATAGGGAAAGAAAGTAGAATATTACACAATCTGGAAACTCCCTTAAAGAAAATGACAAAGTGAGGGGGACTTAAAGAAAACCCATCCATCAGCCCTTCACCTTGGGTGGTGGGTTCATTCCACACGTTTATTAAGCATCTCACAGCCACGCATTCTTTTCAGCCTTTAAGGATGCATCAAGGTCTCTGGCTTCCAGGAGCTTATGTTTTGGATCTCATGCCTGGTACGGAAATCTGTTTCCTTCTTCACTCATGTAGGGGACACAGCATCGATTCCAGGGATCAGAGCAAATGTCACTCTTTCTCTCGCCAAAATGGCAGAAAAAAAGTCTGCATTGCCCATGTTGCATCAGGCAGACAGTGTCTCTAATTCCAGGCGGGAGATCTTCTGCGGATGGGACAAGACAGGGTTCATATTTGACTCACATGGTACAGAGAGGAAATTATAACCCCAGCCCACAGCCTGGGAAAGCTTTCCCTGGGATTCACGATCAGATTCCACTGCCTGCTAGCTTTAAAGCAAAAGCAACACTTTATATCTCTCCTCGTGTGGCGTGTCCACCCCTCACACCCAGGTTCTCCAGCCTTCCAGAAAGAGATATGCACGGCAGGGAACAAACACGAGTTTTAGAAAACAGCAGCGTGGTAAAGGTTGGTCTTCCTCTCCAAGAGCATTGGAAATTGTTCTGATTCTCAGCTTGAGGCAATTTCTTTTTTAGTTTCATTCCTAAGAAAATAAAACCTTGACTTGTGGAACTATAAGACATACACCTACCTAAAGTTGTCATAAAGAAGACGCTTCAGGAAAGACATGATTAATAAAAGGCCTTACTGAACCATGTCAGGTCTGCAAATGCTACTGGTCATGATTCATACACAATAACAGAGTCGTGGGCTGGCACCCACACACGCACGTCACGCATGTGCACACACACATACACATACAGACAAGACTCTGAGCCTATACCACTTCAATCCTGCTTTTACTTGGCAGGAAAAGCAGAGTGAAGCCCTCAATAAAACCTTTGATAAACATAAAGGGACCCCTTTGTAAATCACCTTTATCATAACAAAAAAACTTTTGAAAAACTTTTTTAAAAAGATATCAGCGCCACCAGCCTCTCGGACTGGGGATGTGGATTCTAGTCTTCCGTGAATAATGGATGACTCATTTAGATGGCTAATATTTTGGTTTTCTCATCAATAAAGGAGTTTATCTAGCCGAAGGAAGATTGTTTATGACTGCAAGCCTTCACTGCACAGCAATAAGCAGCATGTTCTCTTGGGCGCGCTGAGTTTCTGTCTGTGGCTGCTGGGCTGCTGGAGAAGATCTTTGATTTGCTCTGACACTTCCCTGACCATCATCGAGCTGACAAGCTTTCTCAGACAGCAGCAAGAGTGTCCTGTTTGTCTCAGAATACATAGGCTCTTTGTCTTGCGTCAGGATACTTACACTCCTTATTTAGTCTTCCTAATGAAGATGAAAGGGGTGAGGGTCTGAGCCCCGCATGGAGTCCCTGCACACACTCCCTGCACACAGACAGACCCACACCCTGTTCCCGCACTGGCTCGCTCACACACAGCTCCATTCCAGCTCCCAGGTGACACGTACCTGAGCTTTTCTGGACCAAACAACAGAAGAAAGCAGCAAAAAAAAAGAGGATCCTCATTTTTTAGGGGTCCCTTGGACCTCTGTGCCTTTCTGTTGGGAAAAGCAAGCCTGATGAATGTGGCGGGAAGTGAGATAAAGAAGGAGCAAATAGGACCTTTATATACTTTCTAGAATGCTAATCACAAATGAGCTTATTTATCTGCTCTACTGAGTTAAGACAGAAGGCAGAAAGTACTGAGTAATTTTATCTTTCTGCCTACAAATGGGTACTTTGTCATTCCTTAGAGGCAGAAATTAACCAAAAACTTGATGCATGAAGGCTTAAGAAGAAATGGAGCCAACACTTTTAACTGGATTTTTAGAAACATAGACAAGAGAGATGTGTATGGCCTGCCCTCAGAAAGCTTTCTGTTGGGCAGTATTTAGCAAGGTGGACTGGAAATCCCTCCCAGATAGATAATCAACAGAAACAATCGTCCAATGAGTACTAAGACACCAGTAAAAGATCATTTATTAGAATGTCAATGGAAAACAGCTTAAATAACATTACAACACAGTAATGGAGTCATTCCTGTTTTCCAATATAGTAATAAAAATACATCCATTTTTTTAAAATGAGGGGTATTTGGAGGGGAAAAGGTTATGAAATAGTAATAGAGGGCAAATTTGATCAAATTATGTCAAATGTGTGTACAGAAATATCAGGATGAGACCCTTCCCTTGGTATAGGTAATTTATGCAAATAAAATTTTCTACTAAGATGAAGAAGATAAACAGGACAAGAGCAGCAACTCGAGATGAGTACCACGGAGACGAGCCTCAGAAACATGCTAAGTGAAGACGGCACACAGGGTAGAACATAATGTTTTATTGCAAAGATTTACCAAATGAAGCTGTTTGCTTGAAGCCAGAATGCTGTCCACTTTGAGGAAAGAAGACAGATTTTCCTTGCTGTGGTCTGGAGGGGACAGAGAGTCCTTGGGGCCACAGCATCGAATCGGCCCGTGACTAGTGTGTGTGTGGTGGGCAGGGGATGGGGGGGGGATTACAGGACAGTACGGGTGCAGAGGGACTCCTGGCTTTGGATGGACAGACATAAGGAAGTGTTTGGATGGACAGACATAAGGAAGTGTTTGGATGGACAGACATAAGGAAGTGTTTGGATGGACAGACATAAGGAAGTGTTTGTGAGGCACGAGGCTTTGACTGGGAGACCAGAAGACAGGTCTGTCATGTAGGCTTAGATACGTGTGCTGAAACATACTGTTAATGCAGCTGCATCTATCATCTCTTAGATTCACTTTAATCTCTCAACACAAAATGAAAAGTAACTCTTCTATTTGGTCTCTCCCCCTTCCACAAGCCACCATGGCCATTCTGTAGGCTTCCTATCTATATGTAAGTTCATATGAAAGTCTACTCCCTCTTCTATATAAACAGTAACAAACTTTGCATGGCATGACTTCCCTTTTGTATTTGATGTACCTTAGCAATCTGTTCAAGTGGGAATGTAGAAAGCTTTCTATTATTTCTTTCTCTAATTTTAAGGAGTTGTACAAAGGGGGCTTCAATTCAACAAGTCAGATGATGGGGACAATGCATCTTGACCAACGTCTCATCCTTTATAATAGCTTCATGATATTCTTACAGTCTGCCTTCCATCTTAGTTAACCAGGCTAAATAGAGTTGGCCTTGAGAGTTGCCTAAAACAATGAGTTTTGCAAAAGAGATGTCACACTTGGTGCCAGACCTACTGTATGAGTGAACAATCAAATCATTCAAACAAGATGCCCAAGTGTTCGTTGGGAAGTTTCACAGTATTGGATGGAGATCAAAGATGGTGTCACTGGCAATTGGTGCTTGGTCCTCAGTGTGTGTGTGTGTGTGTGTGTGTGTGTGTGTGTGTGTGTATGTGTGTAGGCAATTTTTTCTGGGTATTAGAAGCTGTTTTTTTATTTCTGAAACATAAAATATATAATATATAATTACATATATAAATAAATTACCTGGAATGCTAATCATTGTAAAATAATTATCAAATATATATATTCATATATGGAATCTAAATGAGTAAAATTATTAGAATTTAAAGTCCTTTCTCTGTGAAACATTTGTTCCAAAAATATCTGAAATCTCCACTTTTTAAGAAAAAAACACAAGCAGTTTAATTTCACCCTTGGGAAGACTGGCTTCCACACTAAGAATACATCCTAAGCTCAAGAAAGTCTATAAATAATTATAACTTTGGAGGCATCTCTAATAGACCAAAGACAAGAATTTTAAAGATTATACCATACAAGCCCAAATACATGTCATTGTTAAGAAGTTAACTTGTAGGTAAAATGATAGAACACAATTTTATATGCAATATGCATTCTTTCTATTTATACACCTTATTTATGACCTTATTTAGAGAGGTTTAGGGGAGAGGTTATATACTACAGTTCAGCCACTAATAAAGTAGCTATAAAATTATAGCCTAAAATGTTCGATATATTTTGAAACTTTATGAGTTAAGTTGGAAAAAAAATCAAGTCACTTAGGGGAGAAATAAATTAATAGCACCAAGTTTTTGTTTGTTTGCTTTGTTTTTGTGCTTGAACTCAGGGCCTGGGTGCCATCCGTGAGCTTTTTCACTCAAGGTTAGTACTCTCCCACTTTAAGCCATAGCTCCACTTCTGCCTTATTTTGGGGGTGGCTACTTGGAGATAAGCTTCTTATGGACTTTCCTACTTCAAATCATGATCCTCAGATCTCAGCCTCCTGAGTTGCTAGGATTACAGCATGAGCTACTGGCACCCAGCTTAATCATAGCAAGTTTAACACCCAGCTCTTCCTTCAGATTTGAATGTATTTCCGAGTCACAGATTCAGAATGCAACTCTCAAGGGAGAACTTCACCAATTGTTCTAGAGAATAAGGCCTGCCACCCCAAAGAAGCTAAACTAGAAAATCAGGCTCACTGGCTCAGGGCATTGATCCTGGCCCTGGGTCACAGGTTCAGGTAATTACAGGACTGAGAGGCTCCAGGACACGTTGTTCCAGCACCAAGATAATGATCGAGCCCGACACATGCTTGCTTGAGGAGAAAAGCAGAACATCCCACGAGGAGAAGAAGCTTGCAAGCATTTATTTGATAGTAACAAATTATTTTTTAGACGTTAAGTAAATCCAGATATCATTCAACAAAAAGACAAATAACCTAACTTAAAAACAGGCAGTCTGGCCAGGCAATCTTTCTTTCTTTCTTTCTTTCTTTTTTCTTTCTTTCTTTCTTCCTTTTTCAAACAATTTTGGGGCTTGAACTCTGGGCCTGGGCGCTGTCCCTCAGCTCTTCAGCTCAAGGCAAGTGCTCTACCACTTGAGCCACAGCACCACTTCCACTTTTCTGGTGGTTCATAAGAGTCTCACAGATGTTCCTGCCCGGGCTGGCTTTGAACCATGATCCTCAGAGCTCAGCCTCCTGAGTAGCTAGGATTACAGGCATGAGCCACCAGCACCTAGCCAAGCCTGTAATCTTAACTACGGCATCAGTGCCTTTAATCCATAAAATGAGGCACTGTGATTTGTAAGTCACTTACAGTCCAGACATGAGGCGGTTCTTGGATTCTGTCTTGAGCACTGCTTCTGATAACAAGTTATACTGATGACAATGAGCATGGTCTGGCTTAGCTGTCAGAGGGAAATGACCACTGCGTGGCAGGAGACTAGGTAGCTTGCATCCGCTTCCTACTAGGGAAAAAGAAACAGAACGCTGATGTCATGGAGACCAGCAGCCAGACCTTTGGGCTCTTGTTAATGCAGGTGCTCTGCCATTGTATACTTTTTGGTGTAGTTGTCCAAAGGAATCACCATTTAACAAAGCCGTGTATGAATACACTATATTTGATCAATGTCACCCGTTTCAAGATTCTCAGCTATCCCTCTCCAGGGTCCTTTGTGAAAGAAGCCGTGGTCTGTGATTCTGTGGAATCTCTGGTTCTCCTAATAACCCTACGGGACTCTTGTTATGGTCTACATCATTTCCTGTAGTCCTTAGAAGGCTATACTAAGTTTTCAGTTTTAAACTATTTCTGTATCTTCAACACAGACATTGGGTTTTGATCCTAACAAAGAGTCCTCTCCAGCTCCTGACGGCAGCATTTGTCTGGCCAACACTTCTTAGCACGGTGGCCCCTGAAACGATCTTCCGACTGAGTTCTCGTGGCCCCATAGTCACACTTTTGCTTTTATCCTTGTATCTTTACACACACATGTACACACACAGAGGCGAGGCCTTCCCATACTCTCGGAAACTCCTTCAGGGCTTGCTTTCCAATGTCTGGATCAATTCCTCAGTTACTCTCTCAGCTGGGCAGCTGTTCATTGTTTTCCACAGTGGAACACCAAGTTCTCCTTTCTCTCCCACAGTGAGCATACCTGGTCAGCGGACTCCCTGTCTGCTGAGCTCTCTTCCACAGTGAGCGTAACTGATCAGCGGACTCCCTGTCTGCTGAGCTCTCTCCCACAGTGAGCGTAACTGATCAGCGGACTCCCTGTCTGGTGGGCTCTCTTCCGCAGTGAGCGTAACTGATCAGCGGACTCCCTGTCTGCTGAGCTCTCTCCCGCAGTGAGCGTAACTGATCAGCGGACTCCCTGTCTGGTGGGCTCTCTTCTGCAGTGAGCGTAACTGATCAGCGGACTCCCTGTCTGCTGAGCTCTCTTCCACAGTGAGCATACCTGATCAGCGGACTCCCTGTCTGCTGGGCTCTCTTCTGCAGTGAGCGTAACTGATCAGCGGACTCCCTGTCTGCTGAGCTCTCTTCTGCAGTGAGCGTAACTGATCAGCGGACTCCCTGTCTGCTGAGCTCTCTTCTGCAGTGAGCGTAACTGATCAGCAGACTCCCTGTCTGCTGGGCTCTCTTCTGCAGTGAGCGTACCTGATCAGCGGACTCCCTGTCTGCTGGGCTCTCTGTGCGGCGCTCCCTCTCCCTGGGAGCTGCCCGGCCCAGTGCTGATGTAGCTTCCTCGCAGGGGAAGCTCCCTGCTTCTCCACACACATTGCTCCTTTGCACACACAGTCATTGTTTGTCACAGATACCAATCAAAGGGCCATT